TTAAACACAAACAAAGTATCTTCAGCCAAAAGTGTTTTCATAACCGGTGCAGGACAGACTGAGGAAACATGAGATACTGCAACATTTCATTTCTTAGGGATTATTAAAGTACTTTTTAACTTGAAATGAATTTGAATTGACAGCATTTCGAAGCAATTTGTGCTGCACAAAGCTGTAAGGCATTTGCTACTTTAAAACTAAACAAAACTTTATATTGATGAGTGATGACATACAACCTGCTGTGTGCTCCTGAGCAATAACGTCATGCAACCACCCAGAATAAAAAAAAAATATATAGAGAGATATTTACATTCAAATAATGATTTCCAATTCTTCTTGGAGCATTTTTCTGTATTTTTTGAAACATCGTTAATTAGCAGTGATTCTCCCTCTGTGTGCAGGCTTTCTGAGTTCAGTATGGATTTATCTTCACTATAAATAAACTGAGCATGAAAGCAGTCATCAGCAGACAGCTTTCCTCGCTGGGACAGTGATGGGGTGGACAGCGCCCGGTGCTGAAACTACTGAAAGCACATACCTGTAGGAGCTGGTTTTGCTCTCCTCCATCACCTGCTGCTCCAGCCTGTCCCCTCTCCTGTCCCCCACCTGCACGTGGCCCTGGTTACTGTTTACGGTGCCGTCAGAAGCACCATCCCCTCTGTTGCCCCCGTTACTGATCCAGGGGAAATTATCCTTCCTGGGAATGGGCCAGGGTTTGAAATCCTGCTTATACTGGGTGACACTGGGGAACGGCACCCCGGGCGGGTGGTAGTCCTCCCTGGGCTTGTAGCTGGGCTCCTTCCGTGCCCGGGAGGGTCCTCGGGTAGAACTTGCGGGCTCCTGAGGGGACCCTTTCACACGCGGCTCCTGGGGGGTGTAAGTACTGTCGAAGTCGGAGATCTGCTTGGTGACGGAGCGGACCTCGTGCTCCGAAATGTCAGAGTAGTTCTGGATGGTGAGTGGGACAGAGAGGTCCGATTTATCCAACTGATTCCAGAAGCGAGCCAGGCAGCACACTCTGCTGATGCACGGCCAAGCCATAGCATCCACTCTATTCCCCCCCACCCAAAAAAAAAAAAAAACTGTTAGAAGAAAAAGAACAGAAAAAAAAGAAAAGAG